TCTATTAAATTGCATAGAATAATAATAATAATAATAATAATAATAATAATAATAATAATAATAATAATAATAATAATAATAATAATAAAACTAAACTCTTTTTCTGAATTTTAACGAGTCAAGGTACAAGTTTTCGAACAGTTCATTGACCAACTGTTATCCGTTTGTATTTTTTCAATAATTATGCTTGTTTTCATATAAAAAATGCTTATAAGAAAGTTAAAAAAAAAAATAAAATAGCTGACTCAAATAATTTTAATGGAGCCCACATTTTGTTATCCTCAGCGTATGTGTACATGACGTGTGTCTAGTTGCAGGCAAACACAAAATTCAAATGTGTGATAAATTTAAGCCTTTTCTGACATTACACACTTATCTTTATGTTATGGTCCATTTGCCCTTTTGGGAACAAAGTATAACAATGTGATCAAAACAGTTTTGTTATAAAGCCATCGAATGGCTCGACTTATCTATTCACCAATAGTGTATTGACATGTATCTTACAATAAATACATGTAAACATATGTCAACACATTAAGTGGTGGATAGTTCCATAAGAAAGTCATCTGATGACTCCATAGAATTTTTGGTGATAAAAATATCATTTCAAATTTTGATGCTAACAACCCCATAATAAAAATAAAATAAAAGCTAAATAAAGAGAGAGAAATTGAACTAAGATGACACCTGTCAAAATTAGCAGATGACACATATGCTTGTCAAGGTCTGGAGAAAACCAATAATGGTAGTGATGTGGCAAGATGTGGTTGGATCATCTATAGAAGTCCTCTTTGATAAAAAGGATTTATAAATAATTTTAAATCAGAAAAAAAAGGAAGAAAAACTAATGTTTATTTTAGGAAATAATACAGTCCCGTTATGAAATCATTCCGTCGGAATTTATAACTGTTAGATCATTATGTAATCGTCGTGAATAGTTGATCTAACAGTTATAACTCCGACGAAATAGTTTTTGTAATGGAACAGTAGATTCTCCCGTTTATTTTATAGTGATATTTGATTGTTGAGTGACATCATGTCACATTCTACCCCAATGGCTTGATTTTCATATATCTTGAAACTATTATTATATTCAACACATAAATTCGATAGAAATTATTGTAAGTGTCATTTTTTGAGAGAGACCTGATGACTGATGATGACATGCAAAATAAAATAAAAAAAAAAAGTTTTTTTTTTT